TCTGCGTAGTCCATGAAGCATGAGTAATTCATCTGTCGCGGGAAAGTTCCTTCTTCCTATGACTATCTTGCCTACTTCAGCATTACTAATCCGATGTTCCCACCAGACCCGACCAATCCTTTGGAGACACCAGTGACCAAACACTGACATCTTTCTTGTGTCCTCTGCATGTAGAGACCACGTCTCTGATTCATAGAATAGTATGTATCACACGACCGCAGTGTAAACTCTGCCCTTGATGGACAAACTGAAGTTACGTCGGCGCCATAGGTGTCGGAGGTTGGGAAAAGCTGCCCTGGCTTTCCAGATACAATCTCGTCTCCAGCCAAACCGCCAGAACCTACACAACCTATACAGCAACCTTTTGGAGCTGCGTCTTCAGCTGCTGCCAACGCCCTGGAGAGAGAGAGAGAATGAGCCATTCTGGTTCGTAGACTTCCCTACTTGCTCAATCACCCGCCGTGGTTAGGTATCATTCGTGTATTTCTTTCCATGCTTGTATAAAATCTTCGCCGAATCCTGATTCTTCATGCGTAGTGGCCGGCTGAGTCACAGACCCTCCTAACCCTTTTTTGGTTACATCCTGTGCCTTAGGTCGACTTTGATCACATCATCTCTAGAGGAGCACTCTCTTGATCAGGTGCAGTTATGATCACCAAATAACTCGTTACTCATCATCGTTATTCACGCTGGTGAAAAAGATCAAGACAACTCTACCGCTCTATAGCAACTTCACGTCCACTTTTTAACGTGAAGCGCGGCAAAGTTGCGGTAGTAAGTCTCTGCGGCTGGTGACAAGTCGCAGAATGCCATTCCCTGTTGTTCAGCCTCCATTTTCAATACCTACCCGGACCACTCTAATAGCATCCGAGGACTGCTTCACTTTCTGAATTGTTTGAAACTATCCTATATCCGTTCACGTTCTATTTGCTTAGTGACCGCATTCTGTCTTTGCTCTTTCAGCAACGCTTTCGCCCGCGTTCACTCACACCTTAACCATGTTTGCGCAAAACAAAAGAGGACGTCGTTCGTAAGAGCCAAAAGAGGACATTGAGCCATCTCCGGTCATCCATCTGAAGGAGCTTCCGCCGCATACTTTGGAGAAAGACCTTCTTCAGTTACTTGACGTTTACGGACAAATTCGGGAGGTCGCTATGATGCCGCAATACAATCAGGCTCTGGTTGAATTTACTGACGAATCAGTGGCCGAGCACGTCGTCAAAAAGTATGTTTTTGAGGCATTCTCTCCTGACGTTAACCCGTTCTTGAAGCCACATCATAAGCGTGGGCGAACGCACTGCTAGCACCTAAGGCGTGTTTGTCAGCGGGGTCTGAAAACAAGCGACGACCAAACCTCGAGCTAACTTAGTCGTTAAGTGCGAATTTATTGACCACGAGATCCGTCTTTTTAACCCAACCACAATCTCTCGACTGTCACTGTGTAGGTTTGGGCACCCCTGCAGTACTTCAGCCCTTCTATTTCCTTTGGGTGGCATGGTAGCCATGTATCTCATGCCTTCTGCAGAAATCCAGTGAGGATACAATCTCCTCAAATCTTGTATGCCTTATGGACGCCGCAGGCCTTCATCTTCCTCGCATACATAGAGCCAGCTTCAGCCCTTTTCCTTTGGGTGGCATGGTAGCCATGTATCTCATGCCTTCTGCAGAAATCCAGTGAGGATACAATCTCCTCAAATCTTGTATGCCTTATGGACGCCGCAGGCCTTCATCTTCCTCGCATACATAGAGCCAGAAACTCCGGGCTTCCAGAGAATGAACACAAGAATTTCGAATCAAGGTACCAGATGCTTTGAAAGATAGATGATCCTTCCGACAAACACTCAATTGCATTTTCACGGGAGACCCAGCTGAATCTCTCGTTTATGATATTCTTCAACTGAATGTGCTGCACAAGGGCCGCCTCATGTTACATTTGGTACGATATTCAAGAACGCGCACTATATCATAAACGAGAGGTTCATCTGAGTCTCAAGTGAAGACTGAATGGATATATAAATGAGTGTATTTGTGCAAATCTGCCGAATGTGAGTTCAAGGAGAACAGAAGGTTGACAGAAACTCTTTGTGTTTTCAAGCTCTAGATTGAGTCTTGGACGTTGAAACTCACCGGGTGATTGGCTTGGACGTTAGTCACAGTCTTGTAAAACAACGAGCGAATTTCATATTACGGTCTGTAGCACTGAAAACATTTTCAGACCACAGGTGTTGAACAGATTTAGCCGCGACAACCCGGTGGTCACGTGTGAATCAAGCACATAGATCTCTTACATTGTGCTGATATTGCACCACATGATTCATCTTCATCTGGATACAAAAAATAGAAAACATCGTTCAGCTCTGGCACCCTTTCGCTGCCTTAGTGCCATGCTACCAGAAAGAAGCACGAGGGCTAGGATACTATTAGGTTGCCCAAGCCTAGATAGGGGAACTTGAGAGGCAGAGATCGGGTTCGAACGACGGACCTTCCGGTCAGTGAATTCGCGCTCTCAACACTTGAACCATCTCGCCCCATCCGGATCAAGCTATTCCAAACGATGTTTCCATGTAGTTTTCTATGTGCCTTGCACTTTTAAGGTTCAGACTGCTGTCGGAAGATATAGTTCATCTGGAAATAATGGATGATTTTGGTTTCCCTAAAAGTTACCTCACACCGGATTTCGGTGTTGATTTCTGTGCAGGAGACCCTAAAGACTGTTCTCTTCTCCAACTTAGATACCTCGGATGTCCATTAGAGGGTAAAAGGAAGCTTTACAACACGACGGTGTATTCAGTTTCACCCTTTGGTTGTGCACTGAAGACGAAAGAAGATTGCTTATGTTCGACCATCTGGGCCTTAGGGGCGTTGCACGTTTATCGTGTGGGCCGTACCGAATGTCGTTTAGGCAAAAAATCAACTGCGTGTCCATTTTCTGAGTTGATTAGGCTAGGCCAACTACGGAGTCTCTGTCCTTTGCTTCGTGTCATCATCATCATCATCATTGTCAGCTGTAAGAACCGCGTACTCGTCTCGTCGGTTGTAGCTGCAACGGCTTCGTTCACCGATGATTGGGGGGGTAAGTTGCTGCGCATTGGAGGCAGGAGCTGATAAATTGGTGCATGAAATCCAGCACTGTCAATGGGCTCTCAAGTGGGGGGATTGGGAAGGGAGCTATGCATTGAAGGCAGTATCTTAGATGCACGAGCGCCATTGAGGGCGCGGCTGGGCCATGTCTGACATTGTCTCTAGCTATTGATGTGGACGGTCTCGGGGTCCCCATCCAGGAAGACGGCAATGACCAGCGCAGCTGTTGATCGATCGCCTCACCATTTATTGTTTGCAGAAATCGGCTACGACTGGTGGATACGACAAGGCGGACAGCGCATGACCCGCTGACCTAGATTCTAGACCATAACAACAGGTATGCCGAGTTTAGGTGTGAGAGATCCACAACTTCAGTGGTCGGCGGTAAAAGTAAAAAAACGGTTCGGCTGTAACAGCCTTTCAGTGCCTAGCTGCCAATCTACTCGAAGGAAGCATGAGGGCTGAGGTAGCCTAAGCCAAAACAGGAGCAGTCGAGATACCGAGGTTGGGCCACAGACCTTTCGGTCTGTAAGTTCGCACCTTAACTACTGAGAAGTCTTGAGCCCATTGATCTACCATCCCATGGCATTCGTTTTCTGCGCGCGCCGTCCACCTCTACCCTACTGTGCCGACTGTCATACAAACCACTACCCACCTCTGTGGTTCACGGTTGTAAAGCTTTGGGAAACAGAATTTCTTCCCACTGTACCAGGCTTCCGTGGATTATGTGTCCATTGCTACTTGGAGGAGAGATTTCAGAATGTTTTCATATTTCCCCGTAAAAAGCCGACAAATATGAATCGCATGCTACCGTTTCTGCAGTTGGGTATTGGAATTTCATTTGTATCCCGGTGTTCTTCAACAGGTGTCTTGAGGGCGAACTAGAGGTTTTTATTTCGTCTAATGTGAACGCTACAGCTACTCAAGATCCTTGTAGTCCCGTGGTCAACACAGACTTGTGTAAACTGAAAAACCCATTTGGTGGTCGTCAGCCCCCTGTTATTCCAGTAATCGTTTTTTCGTCTATCTGAGTCGTATCCCTTGACAACCAGGACAGTGTGAACCTTTAGAAACGCGGATAATGTGGACTAATCGCGGTTTGTCTCATCCGACATTTCAGCTTTGTTGTCTTCAGTCGGTATTGTGACCGAAGTTCTTCAATAAGCAGTGCTGTGTGTATACCCAGGGATAATTTGTTGGTTATATTGAGTCACGTTTAACAGTTCACTGCTCTAGGGGATTATTACACCACCAGTTCTTGAAGGTGTAGTTAACCATCGTTCAGCTGTATCACCCTTTCGGTGCCTAGCTGCCATGCCGCACGAAGGAGGCACGGGGGCTGGGATACTGCCAGGTCGCCCAAGCCTACACAGGGGAAGTCGAGAGGCAGAGGTCGGGTGCGAACCACGGACCTTCCGGTCAGTCAATTCACGCTCTAACCACTTGGTCGATCTCGTCCCCCTCCGTAGCTAACTAATGGATCTGGGTTTTAGTATAAGGCGTTCCCATTGTGAATTGTACTCCTAGTGAGTTGATTAGCCGTTTGGACGAGAAGTGTCTGCTCTTAGGTTCCGTGAGTTCTAGTTCCCCGAGGAGAGTTTGAATAAAAGGGATTTCATTTTCGTTGATAGCTCCTTCGAAAGGGGTTTTTCCTCTCGAGATATTTTTTAGGGGAAGAGTATTGTATAACCAAGCGAAATTTGTCTTTCAAGCAATTCATTATTTGAACGCACTGTTGGCTAGTGACCTTACCCAGTCCAGCACTGATACAGCGCGGGTACTCTATAGTACTGACATGATTCTATTAGAAATTTTGCCAGTACTCTGATCACTTTCTACTTGAGCTACCCCCTCCCTTCGAAGTAAATATATCGTTAAGTTCAATACTCAGGACACTGGTTGAAATTTTTGGGGCTGGGATGTTGGATCTTCGAGAATTCTCCATGGGCATGTGAGTGTGGATTCATACCTTTGAACTCGGGATTGAGTTTACATGGCCATACCTTCTACTTTCCCCTAAAAAGCACCCCAGTCGACACGGAATCTGCAGGAAAATAGGGGATTGGACCTGATCAAAGAGGCTCATCCAGCAAATCTTGAGCTTTCACGAGCCCAAGGATCTTTGGTGGTATCAGATGAGACATTGTTCTCTGGATTTGCTTTGACAGGTGACCGAATCTCCCTCTCTCTGGTTCTGTTACGGTTCCTGTCTTGGGCCAGTCGATTCGACGTTGCAGTATAGATTTGGTCAGAGCAACTGAAATCAGTGATGAGGTTTCGTATTTGTGACTCACGCTTAGTGATAAGATTCTCTGAACGCCTCGGTATGCCTCCTACTGTTAACACTCGATTGCTCCCTTCAGCCTTAGCATCGTCCGAATGTATAGTTCCACTTAGGGGTCATGCTGTCCCTGGTCCTGACGACCTTTCATATGCTCTGTTCAAGCTGAATTCCTCAGCCAGAGTCTCTTTAGCCTATTGAGGTCTATTTGGAAAATCGTTCCGGACAAGCGAGCTTAGCCGATCATAGTGCCCATTCGCAAAACGCATAATCGCGTGAATGTATTGACCAGAGGGGTTTCAGTTTGACTGCCATTGTAATAAGGTTTCTGGCGTCACTGACTCTTCGTTTTCTCCCGGCGACACGCGAATCTTTGACCCATGATCACCTGCGAGATTTTGGCCGAGTAGAAGCTGCGTCGACCACATCTCCACACTCCACTCACCACATCTTCACACGCTAATTGTATACATGACCCATAGTTTTGGGGGAGATGACTCAAGCAGTTAGAGCGCGAATTCACTGACTGGAAGGCCCATGGTTCGACACCGACCTCTGCCTCTCGATTTCTCCTATCTAGGCGTGGGCAACCTGACAGTATTCCGGCCATCGTGCTTCCTTTGGATAGCATGGCAGTTAGGCACCGGAAGGGTGTCACAACTGAACGACTCTCGGGGAGAATCAATGGAGGTTGTGGAGTTGTATTAGTTCTGACGGAACTACATCTCACGAATCACGTTTGCACTTCTTCTGTAGGGTAAAGCAGGTTGTTACCTAAGTATTAAGTAGCATTTTATAGTTTGCTTTCATGTTTGTCAGACCTTTTGATGCTGCTGTTTATCTCAAGTACCTCAGACTCACTCGCACACATTTCTCCTAGGTTCTCCGATGAACCGCTGCGTATCGGTGAACACAATATTGATGTGTCATTTAGCACATCAAAGCATGTAATGCAACGCGCCAGCTCAAAGGAGACCTCACCCGATCCTTCAGATCCTTTGTCAACAGTGAATCATGTACTTTTGTACACCGTATTCAACGTCCAACATCCAGTGACTCTGAAGGTCATTCATCAGATAACCTCCATGTTCGCCGAAGTTGTCCGTATTGTCATGTTCCGAAAGTCCAACATTCAGGTAGGTGGTTGTTTCTGGTTCTTAATCGTCGCCATATTTTCACCAGGCAATGGTTGAATTCAAATCGGTAGAAGATGCCCGTCGAGTGAAACAGAATCTGAATGGAGCTGACATCTATTCTGGATGTTGCACGCTAAAAGTGGACTATGCCCGACCCACCCGCCTCACGGTCAAGCGGAATGATGAGGATACGTGGGACTTTGAAAACAATGGAGCTACGGACGCGGAGCCTGACGATTCATTCGGGTCATCCAGGCGTATGCACGGCTCATTGCTAGGTAAGCTTCGTCCAGTTCCTAATTCTCCTTCCTCCCCCTCGCTCTCTCTCTCTCTCTCTCTCAGGTTCTTATCCCAAGCATGATATGGGACCGCCACATGCCAATGGCAGTTTTCACACTCCTAGTTTTCAAACTCCTCCCGGGCGAAGTCTGATGCGCTTGCCGGTGACTCCTGATAGTTCGCGTTATCATCCACATCCGCCAACTCCAGTCGCTATGGTTTTCAATTTGAATCCGGATGAGATGAATTGTGAACGGTGAGTGTTTTTCCCACTTGAGGGTTACGTCGTTCATTACGTGTTCATTCTTATCCATTGAGGCTAACAACCACCCAGCGCCTGGGCGGTTAGTAATACGAGGACCTGGCAGGTTTCTGATCCTAGACACGAGTGCTTTCGGTTTCGTGCTGCAACCAAAGGCCTTACGGTTAGTAGCTCGCCTGCCAATTTATTTTTTGCTAGCCACAACGGTGAGTCCCATTAACTCGCATAAAATCGTCCAGCTGTAGCACCCTTTCGGTGCGTAGCTGCCATGCCACCAGAAGGAAGTACGGGGGCTGGGATACTGTCAGGTTGCCCAGGCCTAGACAGGAGAAGCCGAGAGGCGGAGGAACCACGGACTTCCGGTCAGTAGATGTACGCTCTAACCACTGAGCCCATTGCATGTGGCTAGTCATATAAAATAGATTCCCATAGTCGCATTTTAGTATCCGCTTTTCATCATATCCCGATGATACGTTCAGATAATGTTTGGATTTTCAGAATGCTTTCAATAAGTACTTTTGAAGGTCATGTGCTTGTTCTTGACCTTTGGTTTGCTCCAAACACTTGCCGTTTTTGGTGCAACCTCCCTGATGGTGTCGTTTGACCTTCAGTGTTTTTAGCTCTGTTGCATGCTTGTTTTTTTTCCCGATTCACTCAGAAATCAATCCCTTCTTGGATCGAACTACTAATACCTTGGCGAGTTCGAAACTGTCTAGCTATGGTGTTCCACTTTTCGGATTGCTTGGACGCACTCTGAGAGCAAGTTACGACCCTAGTAAAGACGTGAGCAGTCAGCATGATGACCGGTCAGGTTCCTAGAGAATTGGGCACATAAGTTCATCCAATTCAATAAAATACTGCACCGTGGACACTCTAGAAGCCAGCGGTCAGACAATGAACCCTAGTTAAAATCCATGATAGCTTTCATTTTTATCGTATCTAGCTAGGACTTACCGTCTGTTTCGATGTCTAGAGCAATTCCCTTGTGGTCAAAAACTTTCAGAGATACCAGCAAATAATCGCCACAATGTGTCCTTCCTTTGACTGCAAATACCTCTGAAGTTGGCGGATGCTGTCACGGCGTTGAACAGAATTATTGTGGATAGTTCTGGCACAGTTCGCTTTGACAATAGAACGGATTTCAGATGTTAGGCTCAAAGACTGAGCACACCTGTTAGCGAATATGCACTCATTTGCAAACCAATTTGTTTTTTTCGAGAGACTCATCTGGAATTCAGCTGAATCTCTCGTTTGTGATGTTTCCAGGCAACTGAATGTGCTGCGCCAGGCTGCCTCATGTTTCAGTCGCTACCATATACGGGATATCGCGATGCATATATTTTTGTAGTGTACTACTCATAAGGTTGCTGAAAACTACTCGACAGCCCACGACCGGTTTCGCCCTTCTTGGGGCTCATCAGGTAGGCGCAGTCCTCGAGTTTCCGGCAACCCTATGTTCTACTTGAAACTCGGGCCATCGAGGAGTTTTCAGTAACCTTATGAGTAGTGCATCACAAAAATATATATGAACACACCTGTGCCTTCCCATCGTCAGTTTAGCTGGTTTCATTTGAGGTCGCTGACAGCTGCATGTTTTCTATGGTAGATCTTTTGTGCACGGTCAGTCTTATGACCAATTTTTGCAGTGGCATGTAACAACGTACTCTACAGTGTGACCTCTCTAGAGCGGCCATTCTTCACAGGTTCCCTCAGCAGTTACTCTAGGGAGACTGGATTGTTACGTACGGGAGCGAAGCGTCAGTGCTGAACACTGATGTGTTTTGTGATCGGTGCCTAACACATTGCAACCGTTCCCCCTCTACAACACCAGCTTGTTCAATCTGTTTTGTCCATACGGGAACGTTCTCCGCGTGAAATTTCTGCACTCCACCCAGGGGGGAGCGAAGAGTGCTGAACACTGATGTGTTTTGTGATCGGTGCCTAACACATTGCAACCGTTCCCCCTCTACAACACCAGCTTGTTCAATCTGTTTTGTCCATACGGGAACGTTCTCCGCGTGAAATTTCTGCACTCCACCCAGGGAACTGCCATGGTCGAGATGGGTGACCCAGAGTCCGTGGATCGACTGATGGACAATTTGAGTGGCTACACGCTGATGGGAAGCCAACTGGTGGTAAGCGAGTTTTTCCCCACGGGTGACCAACATGTGGCCGTGACGTCCTTTGTTGTAACATCCCTGGTCATTGGCCTAATTCAGCGTGCTTCTTTCGATTTCGTACGGTAATACTTGCTCTGTGTGTCCACCGATCCCCACATGTGTTTGCTGTCGCGCGAGGGAATATTGTATTCTATCTTTGACGGTGGGGCACTATACAAACTTGTTCACACCAGGAAGAACACAGTGTAGATGAAAGTTATGTCCAACAACATAATGAAAAGATCCCTCATTTCATTTACGCATCCTTGGTTGGACGTTGGGGGGGGGGGTGTATGGGGAATTAGCCCAGGGCCACATGATTAACAAACAGGTTTTCAGTCATACCGCCTCTATTAGGCAGTTTATTCGACCACGGCTTCGATTCTCATGCAAAGTCTGCTTTTCAGCTTCAGAGTGGCATGCCAATCTCCTTGCGAAACCATCTTTCATTAGTGAAATATACCCATTTGCAAATCAATTTAGTTTTTCGGGAGACTCACCTGGAACTCGTTTTAATCACGATGTTTCCCTTGCTAATTTCGTGCAATTTGAGTCGAAGTAGAACACTTGGGGACTGCGTCTACCTGATGAACCCCAAGAAGGGCAAAACCAGTCTTGGGCTGTCGAATCATTTTCAGCAACCTTACGAGTAGTGTATTACGTCTATAATTTTTTCAGGCTTCAGTTATTTCTAACGGCCTTCTTGTCCTTTTAAATCCGGAATCACTCCCTCGAACCACGGACCTGCCGGTCCCTCGCTTCTGCCTTTAAGCACTGTGCTTTTTTAAGGTCATAGCGAAGCTTCTACCCATTTCCGAATGTCTGGTTAACACGCAGCCGTTTCCTCTTAACTGCCCGGTCCGTTGCTCCTGCCTTTAAGCACTGTGCTTTTTCAAGATCATAACGAGGCTTCTACCCATTTCCGAATGTCTCGGGTTAACACGCAGCCGTTTCCTCTTAACTGCATTAAAGTTGAGTAGATTATACATTTACACATTACCCTTCTTGATCATGAGTTTTGTGCCACATCACCCAACATTTTAGTGTATATTTTAAACAAAGACGGGATTGGCCTATTGGTTAACCCACTGGGTGGTAGAATTTCATACTCAGAACGGATCAGTTGGGAAAAATTTCATCCTGTCTCTTTTTTCAAACCCGTCTCACCCACTTGTCTCCCCGTTTGCACCGCTCAATACAGATCCGACGTAGCAAGCAAAACGAGGTACTGAACAATACGCTACCCCACAAACTGTTCGACGGTTCACCTTCGTTCCAGGACTTCAGCTCGAGTCGGAACAATCGCTACACCACAATGGCTTCGGCCAGCAAAAATCGCCTGTTCAAACCGTCAAGTACTCTACACTATTGGAACTGCCCGTTGGGTTTCAACCTGGATGATATGCGTGCGATTTGTGAGAATTTGCATGCCCCACTGCCGAGGTATGTTCTCTGAGAGAGAGAGCCGGTTTCTTTCCCGAACTATCCTTGTTAGTTTAATCATGCTTCTATGGCAATCTCTCCCAACACACACCGCTACGTGGAAAAGGCTGTTACCCGTTCCCGAGGGAAGCGTGATTTATCGCCAGATCGTAAGCGATGAAGAACACTGTTTTGGACCGTTTCAGAGATTGAAGTCTCTTTAAAAAGACAGACTAGATGTTTTATTTCACCAGTTGATTGTAGCTTCTAACTGCATGATGGCCCAAGTGGTTAGAGCGCGAATTTACTGCCCGGAAGGTCCGTGGTTCGAATCCGACCTCCGCCACTCTACTTCCTGTCTAGGCTTGGGCGACCTGGCAGTATCCCAGCCCTCGTGCTTCCTTCGAGTGGCATGGCAGCTAGGCACCGGAAGGGTGCTACAGCTGAACGTTAATTGCATGACTGCAATGTTACGCCAACTTCAAGAACGTCGTGCTGAGAGGTAACAAAGTTTGTCTCCACTGACATTATTGCTCCTCAGCTGAGACCTAACCACCGCATATATGGATAATCTTGCACACTCCCTTCCGCTATGTTTACCTCGAAGTAGCACGTTCGATAGATTCATCTGAGCTCGGAACGGACCACTTTTGGAATGCAAGCGAGGACGCAAGTCTCGCCTTCCAGGATGGGGTTCGCGTGATCCTCACTCCGCCTGGTCGGAGACACTGCAAGATATGGCTTCTAACCGATGTCAGCGACGATCTTGTTGTCAGTTTCTATCCAGATTGCCTAAATGAGTGCTTGGAGGTGTAGGCCCCTCGGAATGAGGCACTAAGTCCCTTCCACATCCACCTTTATTCTTTTCTTCATAATAAGGCTTTCAATTAAATCATGGTTGCACGCCAGCGAAGCATCGGTGTTGAACACTGATGTCATGCTGTCGATGATGATGATGATGATGATGTAATTCTCCCACCACCATAGTCTCGATGATGATGGACTTAATTCTCCCACCACCATAGTCTCATCACTAGTGTTGACAGTTCGACGTCTGTCCTTTAGGCTGCACCATTTGGAATGCTACTGAGTAGCGTAAGATGTAACAACCGGCGCCTGTCAGCTTATGACTCAAAGGAATGCAGTTCCGATGCCGAAAAGGATACTTTCTATCCAGATTTATCTGAGCTGCTTCGTCTAGCAAAAACCGCGCCCACATTGTGACCCTTGTGGGCGACGTGAATGTCCAAATCGTTCATATGAGCTCCTTGGAGTCGTATCCGGACGGTCGATTCGGAATCGGTGCTCGTCGGAGAACGAATTCTCCCGTTGTGTGCCGACCATTAGCTTTTTCTGGCTGGCTTTAACTTTCAACACTGGCATTGTTGAGGTTCCCGATACGGAACTTTGAGTGACGCGTAGGTTTGACAATCCCGAATATCAGAAGTGAAGATTGTGTTCGAAGGTCTCCGGTACTGTTCACACAAAGTTGGAGAAAGTTATACAGCGAACCTCAATTGTCCACGCGTCAACAAGTGCGCAAGTTTGTCACTGATCGGTGCAGTTTCAAGGTCCGCACAAGAAAAAACAACGGCGAGAGGAATGTTGGCTCCGTATGGTGGATTTATTCGGGTGGAGGCCAATCTCCTGATTCTGATCGGTGGTGTGATTACACGCATGGGTAAATAGGTCAACTGTGCGCATTCACACACACACACACTATCTAATATACTGGTGTTGGACGGGCGGTGCAGATGAGCAAAACAAGTGGAGATCAAAAATACGTGGGCGGAGTAGGTGAATAAATGAGGAACTCATGTAGATGTCAAGATGCGCACCATGCAACTTGTTGACTGTCAGCTGCAAGTCAACCACGGATCACGTGACTATCAGCTACCAAAAGTGGGCTGCAATTCAATACTACCGCGCTTTCTGGAATCCAACTTGACTGCGTGCATACCATAGCCCGAACACGTTTGATGAATCGCTTGCTCTCAGACCCTCGCAAGTCAGCAAGATGCACATGAATTCAGAATCTTTGGAGAACTACAAGTAGAAGCTCAACACTATCGATCCGAGCTAGCCCAACCACTTTGTGGAGTGAATCAACACAGTACTAGTAACGAGAACGTGAATGAAGGACGGCAAAGTATAGAAGTAGGTACACTAGAGGCGTTCAGAGCTATCTGTCCAACTTCTCCGACACTGCCACATGACCATCGGAGACCGCCGAGGTCGCTAATCCTGATGGATCATAGGAAGTCCATACCAACAGGCAAAGAGGACGATAGTGAAGGTAAATGCTTCGAACGTCAGTCAGTGAATCTGAGAAAGACCGAAAGCTCTTGTGGACACTGAAAGCTCAGGCTTTTACCACCGGAAACAGCGATGGTCTATACTATCTGATAGGATCGATTGGACAAAAGAAGGCAGCCCAAGTGGTTAGAGCGCAAATTTACTGAGCGGAAGGTCCGTGGTTCGAATCCGACATCCGCCTCTTGACTTCCCCTGTCTAGGCTTGGGCAATCTGGCAGTATCCCAGCCCTCGTGCAACCTTCGGGTGGCATGGCAGTTAGACACCGAAAGAGCGTTACAGCTGAACGATTTCTCAGTAAAACGATAGGTGCGCTGTTGCGCACTGAAGATGTCTCCTCGAATGGTGACGAAACGTTTGCAAATCAATTGCCAAGCTCGGCGAACAGATCAACAGCCACCTGATCAATTACCAACCAATACACCCGAGCTACAAATATTCCAACAGATTACCAATAGGTGTAATTCTTTCTTAAAAGCGCCGGTTTGAACAATGGTGGAACACTTAGGAAAACAGCTTAGCTGACCTCCTGAAACACAGGCCCTGGATACACTGCAAGCGGGTGAATGGGTGAATGTAAATTTGAAGTGCCCTTTGGATGATTCATCGAAATCGAGTTCGAGATAGCTCAGTGGTCACGGCGTGAAACTACCGACTGGAAAGTTCATGTTTCGGGCACAATCTCAACATATCGACTGTTCTTGTCTAGGCTCGGACTACATGGCAGTACCTCAGATATCTGGTGCTTCCTTCTGGCAAGCATAAACCGAAAATCGTTAGAGCCGAACAGTTCCTTTTATTTTACTTCTGTCGAGATCAGCAGGTCATGTTACCGCTACAAAATCCACAAAAGCGACTACGATGTCGCATGTAGGGCCGTGAAGTACCGGTTAATCGCGGACGCGAATTATGACGGAGGAGAGTGTTGGGTTGTGAATCCCAAGGTGACGGGGAGAGCTTTCGCTACAGGTAGTAGACGCAGTCTACTTCTGTCTAGGAAAGACAGTTCTCAAAAAAAAACAAATGGAATA